ATCTCACTCACCATTCGTTTTTGTAAATAAAGTTTTATTGGAAAATAACCTTGCCCACTCACTTATGTGCTGACTGGCTGTGGCTGTTTGCATGCTGAAATAGCAAAAAAAAGGATCGTTGAGGCAGAGAACATAAGTCTAGTGAATATTTACTATAGGGTTCTTTATTGCTCACCCTCCTGTGGACTTTGGTGCTGCACCATCCAACATGGTAGCTACTAACTTCCTGTAGCTGTAGACCTCTTGAAATGGGCTGGCATGAGTTGAGATCCACATATCAGATTCCAAAGACTTAGTAAAATATCTTGTCAGTGTGCAGATATTGATTATATGTTGAAATAATAATTTATTAAACTTAGCTTAATTTGCTTCTCCTTTTAAAATGTGGGTACTAGAAAATTTAAAGTGTGCGGCTCACATTAGATTTCTGATGACAGTGCTGGTTAGAGCCTGGAATTTGGAAGATATGTGACCTCTCGAAAAAGCAAAAGGGGAGATGAGGAAGACAGAAAATGAACTCTTATATTTGCAAATCTCTTTCTAAAGCAAGGAAATCTTTTAAAATTCAACTTTTACTCATAGGAAGGAATACTCAAAAAGAATGCGTTAGGATATCCATGGAAATGGTCTTAGGTGAGTTCTCCCAGAAGCAGACGCTGAGAATTTGAATTGGGAGGTGATCCAGGAAGCACCTGGAAGGAAGAGGAAAGAGAGTGTGTTAACAAGCATGTTGTTGCTTTGGACCTGTGTGCTCTTTCCCATTGGGGCCCTGGGAGAGATTTTATAGACCAAGGCTCAGAGTGGTCCCACCCAGAGGTGAAAGAGCTATGCTGTTTGTCCACTGATTGCCAGTAGTTTCCATGTGCCTACCCCTGACTCTCCACAGCACCACAGCCTGCCCTTCTTAGGGCAGGGGACAGCCCTGAGACAGAAAGATACAGGGGCTTGCAGGAAAAAGCCTTCGACATCCGTGGGAGTGGGAAGAATGTTGGCAAGAGGCATAGGGTTGGGCCCTTCTAGTGTCTGTTTCCAAGATCAGACTAAGTATTTTATCCTCAGATTCATAATTTCAACCAATACTTGTGTTTCCTGGTGTGTGTTCATTTTCTCCTATGGTCCACACTACAGCATTGATCATTATTTCTGTCATTGTGAATGAGCCCAAGACATGTCCAGTCGTTTGTGTGAGAGAGCCTATCCCGGATGGCCTCCCAGCTCTCCTCACTCTTATATGTGGTCACCCATGCCTGACTACTCAGGTTTCTGTAAAGCTCAGCTTGATAAGCAGATGTGAGTGTATTGAAGTTTTTAAGGTGTCAACAGGAAACTGAATCTGGTTTTTGTACTCTGTAGAATTATTTAGCTATCCATAGGGATGGAGATACTTAACATGTACTCAGTCCCAAGATGCTTATGCTGAAAAATGTTATCTCCCCTGTGCACAAAACACAGTCAAAATTAAGAGGTTAGAGAGCCTGCTGGCTGCCACACAGGATGTTAGTGATAGAGTTAAATTGCAGAAAACTTCCAAAGAAGTCCCTGTAGCGGAAGCTTATGGACACATGGCTTATTGAAGAGCGGATTTTGTTACCATCCCATTACCCCTGTTCTCTTCCAAAGTGTTGTCAGCCCCTTTGGTACTACTTGAAACCAAGTTTCTCTCCCTGCTTAATTTCCCTGTATTTTACTTCTAACTGACTTGGTGATTCTTTGTGGACTTCAGTAACACTTGTACTATTTAAATTTGAATAAACCCAAAAGAGTTGGATAGGTCAAAGTGTTTAAACCACAGGCTTTAGTCTATGTATTAGATGATTAAAAACAGATTTTGTACATGAGGTATACTTAATAAAGGGAGGGGGAGGCAAGCAGATGTTTGTAAAATCTAAATGTGTTGGATTGCATTTATTTGGCTCTCTTACTGTCTAGCTTTAGAAAAGTCATACCTATGACAATTGAACTGTAAACAGTTACATGATGTATTTCCCTAGAAATTTCCTGCTACGGAGGGTCAGCCAAAAAGAAAAGTAAAAGGATTCCCTAAGATTAACACACTAAAAGAAGCTGACTAATATACCCTATAATAGTCACATCTAAATCAAGGGCATTGAATCATGGGATGTCTCAGAATTGTTCTCTGGTCTATGATTATAAAGTGATTACCAGATATAGTTCATTTAATCCACACAGTAGAAAAACTTTTGAATTTTTTTAGGGTTGTTGTAAAGAGCTTTGAAAGCAAATTTTTTGGTGCAAACACTAGATCATGAGGTGACACCTGAGTCACTCTCTCTGGTCCATTCTTGGATTCTCTTGCCATAATGAATCCATGAATTCATAATACCTAGGAATTAGAGAGAAAATATTTCCAAGTGTATTTTAAAGACTACATAACCAAGCTTAAATATAAGTGAGACAACTATAAAGTACAGAAATGAAACCAAGTGCAAAATGGTGAAGGGAGACCTAAGTTGGACTGCTCCTAAAAAGTTTGGTCGTGGGATCTTAGGGGACACTCGAGGGAGAGTACACTGCTTATGGCAGCTGGCAATGAAGAGTCTTCATGCATACACTTGGCTCAAAGGGCACCTCACACCTCTGGAATTGAAACCAGACATGGAACTCTCATGGAATGAAACAGAGGCCCAGAGCTAAACCAGGATTTATGCCTCAATTTCATGTGTCTTTTGGGAGTGCCTTCTTTGTGGGAAAGAACGTCAGAGTGTACCCCTCATGTGGTTAGGCTATCTCAATCCCCGAATCACAACATGGGGCACAGAGTTAATGTCAGATGAACCATCAGACAAAAATTACAAGACAAGAGATAGAATCAGAACCATGGGTAACTTTAAGCAAACAGTGGGAAGTGTGGAATTGCCCTTTCTCAAAAGAACTTAAGAATAAATTTGTAGTTCTCTTGAAATTGTGAAGAAGGGAATTGAATCTTTGGAACAGGAGCTGAAAGCAATTCAACAAGAAAAGGGAGATGTGATAAAGAACCTTCTAGTAATAAAAATGTGGTCATTAGGCACACCCAACATGTCTGTAATCCAAGTATTCTGGAGGCCAAGGCAGGAGGATCATGAGTTCAAGGCCAACCTGGATTACATACCAAATTCAAGACTATCCTGGGCAAGACCCTATCTCAAAAACAATAACAAAATCTAGGCAAAAGCGTAAATGCCATATAAATAATTTAACTTGTTTAAGAATAGCCAGAGATTTCTGCTTCTGACATGTTCATTTTAAACATTAGATAAAAGTTGTTCTTAATACACTTTTTTAAGTAAAAACGTGGGAGCTGAACAAGCTAAAATTTTCAGAAATTTCACCGCATAATGTTTTATCACTTTTATGAAATTGTTAATTTTCAAAATCCCTATACTCTTGCCAAATCTTTTTGTTGTTGTTTTGTTTTTGTTTTATTTATTTATTTATTTTTTTTTGGCAGTACTGGGGTTTGAACTCAGGGCCTTACTCTTGCTAAGCAGGTACTATACCCTGTGAGCCATTCTGTCAGCCCTTTTTTGTGTTGGGTATTTTTGAAATAGGGTCTCTCGAACTATTTCCCCAGCTGGCCTCTAAATGTGATCCTCTTGATCTCTGCCTCCTGAATAGCTAAGATTACAGAAGTAAGCCACCGGCATCCAGCTGTTTTTGTTTTATGTTTTGCAGTACTAAAGGGCAGAACATAGAGTTTTGCTAGACAACTGCTATACACCCAGCCCCCAAATCTTCTTTGCCAGATGGCATTACAAATCTGAGATCCGTTATCTTTTCTGTAAAATGTCCCAGTGTTCCATATCTTTGTGTATTTGTGGAATTATCCTATTTGTTAAAATGCATCATTTCCCCAGAACACATCATTTCCCTAATCCTTTGCCCTTTTGTACCTTCCTGATATTGTTGTATAGCATTGATCTAGTCCCTAAGCATGGAGGGCTCTTCCACATGTTTGCCTCCACCAGTGGTTCCTATTCCCCCCAAATTGCCACTCTTGTCCAAAAAAATACTCCCTGATATTGCTTCTAGCTTCAGCCAAAAGACTTTGTCCTCTTGGAAATCTCTAGGCAGTCATCAGCTTTTCCCCTGCCGTCCTTTACAGCATATCACTCTCAGTTGCATAGGTCATCTCCTTGTGAGCAGGGAGTAGATATTTTTATTTTTGTTTCCCAGTATCTCTCTCACAGCCTGACATATATAAGAGCTTAATAAATACTTGTGTGGATGGATAAATAAATAAACAAACAAATAAATAAATGAAGAGCATGTGAAATGGGAAGGAATGGGGACATTTTAATGAGTCTTACCAGAACAGAGGGCTATTGTGGTTGAAAATATGATTGGGCATTTATGCAGGGAACTTTAAATTTGATGCTGTAAAGGAATAAGGAAATATTCTGCAGTCCTAAGAACCATGGTGATATAAAGATAGTGTTCAAGGAAATTTAATCTGGCATCGATCGACAAAAAATAGAATTGTATACAATAAAATGTACTATGACTGAGGAAATGTGTGACAAGGACTTCTTACAAATGTCTGTAAATGGCCACATTGTGTACAATAGCTTGTCAATCCACACCTGTTGACAAGTTACCCTCGGCCTGACCGTAAAATGATAAATCCTAAAAAATCTAATAATAGGCTAGCCAATGTGGGAATATATTCCTTATATTATTGCCATTTCTGATTCAGATAAATGGATAAAAATCCAATTACTTCCTTCCTTTCTCCTTTCATGGCCTAACAGTATACTGTAACTAATTATTCAGTTACATATAAGTGCCTTCACACAAGAAGCAGGACCAAAATGATGAAGTTTGAATATTTTTACAAAGCCCACAGAAATGCAACTTTTGAAAATCCAGTTTAAATCTAGAAATACTTAAGATCACATTGACTTCGTTGAGATTTCTGAAAAATATGTTTTTTCTGAGTAGGAGTAATTTTGTGTACACTAGAGAAGTATGCCGAATAACATTTTCTTCTTTTTTAACAGCAAAACTTAGAGAGTAACCTCACCAACCTTATTAAGAGGAACACAGAACTGGAGACCCTTTTGGCCAAGCTCATCCAAACCTGTCAGCATGTTGAAGTGAGTAAAACTATCTGTGTGGTCTATTTCAGAAGAAATCTGCTAGATTGGGGTTTTTATGTCCTCACCTTTTCTAACTTTAAAATGGGAATCTTTCTTCAAATTAAATCTTTTGAAGAAGCCAAACTTATAGGACTGATGAAGTTGGAAAGAACTAGAACCTCAGAAAATCTCTCCCCACCCAGGGCTGACTCCCCCTCCCTTTATAGCTCTTCCTGGATCCAGCATTACATAGTACTCCTAATGCTGCATATTTTAATCACCCTTACACAGAACAGCCAAAAAAAGCACTATTTATAAGGTGTTCTGTTACTCTACTAGGACTGCCGTAACAAATTGCCACAAACTTGGACGGCATAAAACAAGAGAAATTTATTCTCCCACACAGTTCTGGATGCCAGAAGCCCGAAATCCAGGTGTCAGCAGGGCTAAACTCTGTCTCAAGGCTCTAGAGAGGATCCTTCCTGCCTCTTCTCACCTTCTGGTGCCTGCAGGCAATCCTTAGAGCTCCTTGGCTTGCAGCTGCAGGGATCTAATTTCACCTCTGTTGTCACGTGACCTTCTCCCCATATGTCTGTGTTTGTGTCTGTATTTCCCTCTTCTTAGAAGGATTAAGGCCCACCCTTCTCCATTATCACCTCACTTTAACTTAATCACATCTGCAAAGAACCTATTTCCAAATAAGGTTCCATTCACAGGCACCATTGAACATACCATCTTGGGAGGCCCACTACATAGAGATATTAAATGCTTCTCAGTCGTCGATATGGTGATGTGTTTCCATGAAATCAACCACCTTTGCTGCACTAACAGAAGCTGCAATGATTTTACATTGTGTGAGGCAACCCTGGAAGCCAAATTACTTAACATGATTTTCAAAGTCCTCTTCCATCTTCTCCCAACCTGTCTTTCCAACTCCCGCACACCCCTATGCACCAAAATAAAACAATTGCCCATCTCCTCTGCTTCCAAGCCCTTTGGCTTTAGCCCAGGAGATCCCCATGCCTGGTAGGCCCACCACCACTCCATGTCTATTTGTTTAAATCCTTCTTGTTTAGCCTCCAAATCACAACTTCAAGGACACTTCAGTTGTGAATATTTCTCTGATTCACTGGACCAGAGTCATCCCTCCTTTCTCTGGATCACGCGATATTTTACTAATAATCTTCTAATGACTTTTGTCACTCTTCACATACTGGTTCCATTTTTCCATTAGAATGTAAAGTGTTTGAAAATAGGGATCAAATGTAACTCATCTTTGAATCTCAGACGCTAATGAGGTAGTTTTCACAAGATGCTCAAGACCCCATAAGTATGTACAATTTTTATGTTTTATGTATCAGTTAAAATACATTTAAATGAAAAAGGACCAGGGAATTTATTTTGGACAGATTCACGTGATGACTCTGCAAATGGCTGATTTGAACAGCTCCCCAAGATATCCACAGTTGGAGAAACAAACTTTTTTGAATATATGATTAAAAGTTTTGACAATAACTCTGTTTTTGAAATAGTGATTTTTCAATTCTCTTTTAATCATCCAATCAGTAATTGCAAGTTTATGGCCTTCTGTGTGCGGTAACTGCAGCAGTACATACAGGATATAGTAAAAAGAACAATAAAATTCTCAATTTGTTGGAGGACCACATAATAACACAATTAAAGAATAGTACAGTAGCTAAACCAAGCACTGAGCTGGTAAAATATTGCATTTTTTGATTCTATGATCCATGTTTGTTCACAAAGCAGTATCTTTCGCATTGGGCTACCACCTGAAAATTAGTGATGGGGCACAATTAAATGATCAGTGTTTTTTCTTTTTTTTTCATTCCTATTGCACACAAAATGTAAGTGAGCCATTTTCCAGTGTCCTGCATTGGATGAGTATGGTATGTGGAAGGGAAAAATTACATGAAAAAGAAGTAGGTACAATTTGCCCGAAGCTTTATAGAGGAGTCAGGACTTGAGCTGATCCTGTAAATTTCAGGATTACAATTTTTAAACAATATTCCAGGTATTGAAATATGTAACACAATTGTGTTTACTAATGAGACATTCCTCAGCACAATTAAAATTGGTAGGTGATGCTTCCCCAGGCTCACTTGTGCTGCAGGGCGCATGGTTTAAGCAATAGAGTGCCTAGCTGGCATGAGTCCCTGAGTTCAAACTCAGGTAGCGCCAAAAAAAAAAAAAAGATGCATTCAAATACTCTCAGCTTAAAAACATTTCTACTGTGCAAACACTGGTGCTTTAATGGAAGGCTAAAAATACTCTGTGTTCATAAAGTTTGTACTTTTTCTTGTAAGTGCTGTCGTTAGGATTGGAAATTTAAAACTGATTACTGAGAAACAAATGCGTTGGCGACTGTTTTGAACTCCAAATTGCTTATGCTTTCTCTGTGATAGTGTCTGGTGGATAGGAAAAGGGTGTGTTCTGCCCTACCTAAACCATCCACTCCAGCTGTTCATCATTTGAGTGCTGATGAGCAGGGTATGATGAATGCAAAGGAGGAAGAAGAACAAAATGGAGTAAGAGAGCAGATTGTAACTGCCCAACTAGCTCATAGGTTCATGCCATATACCCCTTGCTCTAAGAACTACATGATCCTCCAGGTAGAACGAGTCTTTCATCGTGGTGGATGCAGTTGGGAGTGTGAAGGCAACAGCAAGGTCAACAGTGTGTTGCGGACCCCAGACCTTTCTAACCTTCTGCTTAAACTGAGTTCGTTTGTACAGCGATCTCCCAGGGAACATGGGAGATTAGCCAACATGGGTAATAACCATGAATGCACATAATGTGTTTTTGCATTATTGTAGGGTAAAGTGAGTATGTATTTTACAAAGAAGTGGATGAACAAATAGAATGATCTGTGTGCCATGTTTTATTTTTAGGATGTGATGGCACTGGATGTTTAGGGTAACAAGAAAGAAGCATATCTCTTTGGTAAAAAAATTACCTGTGCTTTATGATAAATCTTATAAATGCTTTATGGATTGGGTGATTATTTCATTCAGTTTCAGCCAGTTACTTCTTAAAGCATTAGTGTCTGGTTTCCATTATGGCTGGTAGTGATTTACAGAACAAATACCTTGTTACTGATGCAATATTAATATGACTTGAATTTACAAAATGCTAGTCATCCTAGTATAATGTAAAATTATATTCTCTCATGTTCAGGAATTTCAGATGAAAGATAAATTCAAGAAATTGGCAAATAGTCTGTTGTTATTTCAAGCAATCAGATATTATTTTAGCTGTGATATAGGCTTTTAAAATAAAGTTATTACTGAATCAATTGTAGTAGACTTGCCATTGACACATACATTCCATTAGAATAGTGGGCCACAAGTAAAGAACATTCATTCCTTTCTCCAATTCTTTGTATAAATCCTTTGGAATGGAAGCAAATGTTTGTGAGTGAGTAAATTTGGAATTTGGGATATTTATTCTAGACAAAAATGAAATAAAAACATTTGTGCGGAGAAAAATAATGATCACAGCAGTACTCATTGTCATGTTCATCCCCTTACTCTTATTTATTAATGCTCTCAAAGAATACCTTTTAAAAGGCCGAACAGTTCTCATATAATAATTGAGTGAGTCCATATCAGAGACTTATTTAACTAACTAATGAAGGAACCAGCAGAATGACAAAGCCTCCTTTGAACAAAAGAGGACACCAAAGCCTGGAATGTAGAAACATGGTGGGAAGGATCCATAGAGGGAGAAAAATGCCAGAATGACATAGCCAAATTAGGTACAAAACTGCCTAGTGATCTACAAGGAAATACAGTCTTAATATCTGGGCAAAATAAGTTGCATGATAACAGTTTTCTTTAAGTTAGCATCTGACTCTGCAGAGTCTAAACCCTAATCAGTAGCAAACAGAAAGTCCACAGTCTGGAGAGTCAGGTGACCCTGACTGAGCCTGGCTTCGTGGAGTATGCACTCATATGACAGTGGAAGGCTCCCACTCTTCTCTTTCACCTATTTCCTAGTTTTGGATAATTTTGCTTACTGTGACTTTTTGCTCCAGAGATGATTGAGATTTGACCTGTGTTTGCCAACAGGTATTTCTGGGAGAAGGTGTAAAGTTTTGCCTGTTGCCAGTATACCTTAATGTGTTCAAGGGCCGTACTAATTGGTTCATGCCATTAGTGTGAGTGGAGCACCCACTCTGTGGGTTGCACTGTGCTAGGTGCCAAAGGACTCTTCTTCTATAGGACTCACAATCTTCACTAAAACAATAAAAATAGAAAATTGTAATTGCCGTGGGAGAAGTGTGGATTACATACTTCAAAATTTCAGAGCAGCACGAAATTCCTTCCATCTGATGGGTGGGAAAGGTAACAGTGGATCTGAGGCTGATTTCAAGGGGTGTATGATTTGGGTTTATAGAGGGAAGGGAAAAGCACTGTTTGCAGGCAGACAGAGGAATGGGGATGGAAACCAAGAAGTGCATTCACACAGAATTACTAGTTCTTTTTGGAGAAATGTAAGGTGTGTGAGAAAGAAGGCTAGGCAGAGAGATGGGAGCTGGAATGTCTTTCATGTTGTATCTGAGTTTGAACTTTGCTCTTGGGGGTTCAAGGAACACATAGATCTGTGTATGCCTTGCGCTTCAACTAGAATCCCTAACTCTTTTCAAGAAATGATATTTGCAGTTATTGGAAAACTAACATAGATGTCTTTGTTGAAAACAAACACCCATCCAAGGGAAAACTACAGAACTAGGAAACTCCAGAAAGGCAGTGGGATGTGTTAGGCACAAGCATGTTGTTCTTTCAAATCAGTGCAGTGGAAAAGAATCTCCTGGTTCACACCCTAGGTTCCTAGACTGTTCTTCCTCTTCCTCTTCCTGAAGGTGTTCTTGTGTTTGGGACTGAGCATTCCTCAGGGAAAACAATCCCGATACTAGCTGGAGCTTAAAAAAAAAAAAAAAAAAACTCACAGCACAGAGGCGACTTCTAATTGTTGTAAATTAAGTCAATGAATTCCTT